GGAGGAACACAGCAGGCCAGGCAGCTTCAGAGGAGCGGGAAAGTTAACGTTTCAGGTCGGGACCCTTCAGACCCTTCTGCGGAAGAGTCCTGACCCAAAAGATCAACTTTTCTGCTCCTCTGATGCTGCCTGGCCTGCTGTGTTCCTCCAGCTCCACACTGTGTTGGCACTGGTTATCACAATGCTTGATCCTCCCAGTGTTTCCAGAGCCAGTTTACGTTGCTACGACATGTACTCTTACCATATGTTTGGATAATCTTGGGCAAATGGTACAGCAGAGGGAAGATGCAGCAAGGATGGCTTTGGCACTCTTGTATCCTTCTAAAATATTACCGGCTCCTCTGATGTTTGGAATTTTTTGTAGGAGGGCCAATCAAACATTTTAACTGCCACATTTCTTCGGGCCTTCCAACCCACTATCTTAACATGAGGCATACCAGTGACCTTTAATGGATCTCTCATCTGGGCTCATGGGCCAAATTTGGGGCAGACAGCAAATGCCTGAAGCCTGATCCTAAATGTCCTTTCTATGCTGAAAGTTGCCATATCTGGATCTTGCCTCATTTTACTCCACTGTCTACTGCACTCACCTAATTCATGCAATGTACCAAAGAAGTGTGGCTTCGTTAGAGATCACTTGTAAAAGTAATCTTACATTACTTCTACATTCCATTAGCTGCTGTCAGCTAAAGTGCAAGCTTTTATTCAAAAAACATGCATAGGGGTCTAAATGATGTAATCCACTTAAACTTATGTCAATACAAAAGAGCAGGCCAGCCTATCATCAGGAAATAATTTTCTTTTGTCGTTGCTGTGTGCACCTATATAACTGTGGAGATTGTTTACCTCCATTTTACAACATAGGCAGCTGCTGTATTTTTATTTGATATTTCATAAGAACATAAATACGCACAAAAGTAAACCATCTGGCCTATCAATTCTACTTGCGTTATGTCAAACACTAACCTTTAATTTCATCAGCTGGAATTGCTGTTTAAACTTTCTTTTAAATGTGTATTGTCGACCTCATATTGACTGCCAGCTCTATTTTGCAACTTTAAGCTCATCAACACCCTGGAAGTTCCAAAATTGATTATAAAGAAACATACCTAGACAACCCTAGGTATTTGCACCTTTACTAATACAAGGATTACTCTGAGGATAATGAGACTACTTGTAGAGGACCTTGTTGCCTATGGGTGATGGAGCAACATTTGCATTTAGAGAGCTCAGGTTTCCTGATTTTGTCCTGCCCGCATGCAGGTTCATCCTCCTCAGCTTGAACTCCCACAGGCATCACTGGAATGCACTGAAGGAAGACTTCTGGGGGCCTCGTCCGGCAGGGTGCATTATCCTGTCTCATTGTGAGGAAGGTACTCATGGAAGGAGGTCAGGTCCTTTATCCCTCTGTCGCTTTGTATTCCATTATCAGCACCAGTGACAAGTTGGTGCACAAATCTGAAGGACACTATATTAGACTGGTTCTCTGGTACTATTGCCAACTTGTCAATAGATTTGGCAGATGCATGCATGCCCAGAGCCATCCTGATGCAGATGGCATCAGTGGAGTCCAACCTTTGATCCAGTTTCCCTCTGACGAACCTGCCCTCTTGATTAAGCTATTAATGGCTGACACCATGATGTCCTTTCCTGCCTGGGGCAGAGCAGGTACATGTGTCCAACAGTCCACTGAGTGCCAGCAACCTGGGGAATTTCTTCCTTGCTGTAGATGTGCTCCCAACTCTAGTTTATGTAAAGAATGTACTGTGGTGTCAGCATCTGAGCTGTTTGAGGATGCAGGATACAGCTTTGCCAGCACTTCCTCTGAGCAATCTGTGACTACTTCTTCAGAGATGGAGGAGCAGATGTTGGCTGGAAGGGCTGCTCTATTGAGAGGGGAGACTCTGTAAGTGCTTCTGGTACCTGCAGAAGGAGTAGCAAAACAGGAGTGGGAGCTTGATGGACAACACTTGACAATGAATCTCACTTGGTTGCTGGGGCATGAAGTCTCGGCATCACCGCAAGAGGTCTTCATCCTCATTCGCGGGGATCAAGGATCCTTTCCTTGTATGGAGTGAGAAGATGAATGTCGAGCAGCCCACTGTCCATTTTATCTCTTTTAGCCCTATTGAGGGCTAAATTCTACTGCATTGTGACCCAGGGAGGGACTGTTAGTGGTTGTGCAGGTGGAGTATAGGTTGTGAAGTGTCCCAAGTGAGTGAATCGGAAGCATGGAGGGCAGGAAGGGTGATTTTGTTTGAGAACCGCCTATGCTTGATCTTCCTTTGTGTACTAGACACTTCTTATTTTTCAAACTACATGCCTGTGCTTGTTTGTATTGATGTCACACTTCATTACTTGTCTTGGAATTGGTAAGTAACAAAATTTCTGTTTCCTTCACTCAAGATAACTTTTTAATTGTCTTCTTAATTTTGTGTAGTACTACATTTGAACTGATCTTTTGTGTAACTAACCAGATTACGAGTAAAATAGTGTTTGATTCAACCCTCTTCATCTGGTCAGAACAATGTCTATCACTCATTTTTATTATCTAATCAAACTTGCAATTAATTATATCTGGCTTTGTGCCATGCCGAAGAATTCTCAAATCTTTTCCAATATTTAAAATCCACCTTTAGGGGAAAACAAAGCTTCTCATTAGGATGCTCAGTCCTATACATTGTAGATGTTTTAAATGATAGCATAATACCATTTCCAACCTGTTCCACGAAAGGTTTCCAGACAGAGGTAGGCCTGCTGCCAATGGCTTACCTAGGTATTTATGCAAAGTTGTCCCCAGAAAATTACTGGTATCATTCCCAATATAGTCGTAACAGTGAAACCATAAACAAGAAATATTTTGTATCACATATTCATGCTGACATATTCCTCTTGTTAACTGATGGAGCAAAGTAACCACCTATGGTTAAAGAAGTGTCACATATCTGTACATACTTGTCACAGCCGTTTTGTCTCTTTACATATTTGGTATAGGTAACAATGCTAGATCAATCCTGTTTTCAAGGTGAAGTAATTAATTTTGTTGTGTTGTAATTGGAGGAGCATTTTGTTGCATAAGTAATGATAAATATGAACCTTAACTATTGATAACATTGTCTTATTTTAACTAGTTTCACAAAGACTGCATTGACCATTGGCTATTGCATGAGTCTAATTCATGTCCAATTGATGGGCATGCAGTCTATAATCCATTAACCTGGGATGAAGGATCAGGCAGAGGCAAAAAGAAAGAGGCATTCACCAATTCTGAGCATTCCAAACCTAATATTCAACTGGATAAACCTCAGTTTGCTATTCCAGTGATTGGTTACCATTCATCACTGAGAAAAAGAAGCAGCAATCAAACCCATGGTCAGCTAAATCAAAACCAACGTCAAAGAGGATATGGAGATCAAAATTCAATAAGCGTCACAGACAATTTCACTGTAAATGGATTAAATTACTTCCGTTTGAATGAAGTAAAAAATGAAACAAGCGCAGATCAAGGTCATTACACACAACATTCAATACCTGTAGGAATGTTTGAAGAACATGCCTTAGGTCTTTTACCTGATACAAGAGGTAAAAATAATTCTGCATCTGTTCAAGTTGAAGCAAAGTCAAAGGACTCTAAAGATAGTCAAATAAAGAAAAGAGATATTGTCATTAGCAAGACTCATAGTGCTGGTTTAAGTGGTACATCCATATTGCAGCCTATGCACAACAGCAAATCCAACTCAACAGAAATATCCCCACAACAGCCCGAGGTTTGTCCGCATGATGGCAGTTCTACACAGAGAACTCATAGCAGTGGGTTTAAAGGTGAAATCCGAAAACAAGGTGGACTCCTTTCAAGAAAAGCCAGATGTGCTTCCATGAGTTCAGCTGCCGAACATGTGAGTCTTGCTATGAAAGGAGTCGCAGTGAACACCAGATTATAAATCCATTTATTTATTGAAGCATGTTTGTCTAGCAATATATATAAAATTATTGTTACAACTGTTACTTGAAATTTGTAAAACGTTTTCTAGTAACATTTTAAAAATTATGGACAAAAATCACAATGTTTTTTGGGAATGCACAATTCATGCATGAGTCTCTAAGAAAGCAGAAACTCAGTTACTCCATAGGAATTTCAAAAATGAGAGCATTTACCTATATTGCAAAGTCTAATTAACAAGAATAACAAGACAATAACATCAAAATATAGTGGCAGATTACTTGAGTGTTTTAATAAATGAGTCAATATCTCTTCAAGATTTTGTAGTCTATATTTTTTGTTAGAAATACTATTCCTAATTATGTGTGGGAATATTTTGGTTTATTGGTCTTTCTTGATCATTCACTTTATTTTGAATCAGGTGAAGATAAGTAGCTCATTATAGTTTTATTTTCTCTACAGTAGTGTTATTCTAATAAGTAAATGTGCAGTTAGTATGACAGAACTTACTATTTTAAAAATCAACTCCTGTATTTTAAGCAGATACATCAGGCTATCCTAAAACAACTCCTCTGTCACACTGTAGGCTAGTTAATAATGGACATGTTAAATAGTATAATATATTTGATATTAAATAATACACGGTATAGCAAAGTATATTTGATATCTTTTACTGAACACAACAGAAATGTTATGAAATTGTTGCTTCCAGTTAATGGTAATATATGCTATAAATTGATTATCTAGAAAATTATGAATGTGCACTTACTGTGCACTTATTGTTGGGTAAAAGAATGTCTCAAAGCAAATTAATTATCATCTAAATCATTCTATCAAATGGGCACATTGACTTGTTTATTTGTAAGAAGCAACACAAAGTCCCACAACTCACCTGATTTATTGCTTAAAAAGAAGCCTGGGATGGCTAATCCATGTGCTCTGCCTGCTTGGAATACTGGGAAAATTTTGACAATTTAAAAATATGATTAAAAGAGATTGTTAACTAAATATCCTGACTTTTTTTTATTTTAAGGAGTTTATCATGTTTTTATTATTTCTTTACTCAGTTATTGATTGATCGGCCTCCGACAAAAATAACATATGGTATTCTGTGGTATGGGACTGCAGTGTATTATCTCTCTTCATTTTCCTTGTCCACTCGGCATTCTTTGAAAAGGTTGATCAAAACATCCCCTTACAATGCCTCTCCTCCATTGTCTAGTTCTTTGGGACTGTTCTTTTCATTCTTCTCTTTCCTATTAAGTTGCAGTGAATGTATCTTGAACCACAGTTTTTCTTAATGCCCCAAACTTCAGGGTTCACATGCATGGACCTATTCTTGGCCCCCTCTTCTTCATTATCTGTATGTTGTCCTTTGGCAACATTCACTAAAGACACTGATTTAGCTTCCATGTGCACGCTTGTATTTTGTCCTTCTTTTGAAGAGAGGTTTTAAGAAAGAGGTGAGAGCTGTCTATTTGATTCCAATAAAGTAAACAGCTTGTGAGGCTTTGGGTTTTTTTTGAAGTTGGAACAATAGAAGCAGCCTGAATGTGTGGGGTCAAGCTGCCCCACAGCCAGGATTTTTGGTTTTAGTGTTTTAGTAGCAGTTCCTAGGGTCTTGAAACTGGGTTTGGTAGCTGCAGTACATCTCTTCCTGTGACTCTGTCTGTCAGTTTTCTTTTGATGTTTTTCCTCCTGGACTGGAGAATTGCATGTTACTGAATTTGCCTTTGCCAACGTGTGTTTATGGGATGTGACTATATTGGAACAGCTCCTGTTTAGTAGTTAAATAATCTATTATTCTGTTAAGTTTTCCAATAGAATTAAGTTATTCCAATTTCTTCTTTCTTTTGTATTTTAGCTATAATGTATGAATAAAGTGTGTTTTGCTTCAAGACTAGTAGTTTGACCAATCAAATTACATCTGGTTTGCAACACCTAGCACTTGCTTTTAAAATAAGAAAAACTTAGGGTCGAGGCTATCTTCTTAATATATTTTGAGGGGTTGGGTCTGGTCCATAACAATGCTGAAGATACTAATAAGCACTAACGATGGCACTTTAGATAAATATTTACAGCGCCTGCTGGTTTCCACCACAGGGTAAGGACATTACAGATGCATTAGTTACAATATTCTAAAGCTTTCCTGATTCAAGATTGGACTGGAAAATTACAAATGTTATTCTGTTAATTAAGAAAGATGAAAGAGAGAATTTAAGCAAGTGTAAACCAGTCTGAAGTTCATTGCAGGAAGTTGCCAAAATCAGGGACAATGTAACTGAGCAGTTGTATATATTTGAGTATGGTGCATAAGAATGTGTCTACAGGTATAATCTATATCAATTTCCAGAAGTTATTTGATGATAACCCACAGAGGAGATTTGGAGGCAACTTTTTGACATGGCTGAGAAATTGGTTGGAAGATCGGAAAAGGACATAGAAGATAATGGCTCTATACTCTGGCAAGATGTCACAAGTGGTATTTCTCAGGTATCTACATGGCAAGAGTTGTGAATGTATGATTATTAATGCAAATCAATAAAAGCGGATGTGTGAGTACAAGAAGTAACCAAAAATGTGAATGAAAGTTTATTCTTCATCTCATGGAATCCTTCTGTACAGATTTCATTTGAAGTAATGCATACGTTCTGGGTATCACACCACAGACTGAATACACTGACCCTGGAGAGGGTGTGGTGCAGATTCATAAGGATGATACTGGATTGAATTGATTCAATTATGAGGACAGGTAACATCAATTTGGCCTGTATCAGCTGGAGCATACAAAAATATAGGTGATTTGATCAAGTTTGTTAAAATAATAGAAGACTTAAGGTTAGATCACATGGAATACCTTTCTTAAACAATGGAACAACATTAGCTATCCTCCAGTCTTCTGGAACTTCACCAGTGGCTGAAGATAAAGCAAAAATCTCTGCAATTTCTTCCCTAGCCTCCCACAACATCCAAGGATGGATTTGATCTGGCCCAGGGATTTATCCACCTTAATGCCATCTAAAGCTACAAACACCTCCCCTCTGGTAATATGTATGTGGTCCAAAACATCCTCACTTGTTTCCCTTATTTTCCTGAACATCCATGATTCTCTCCTCAGTAAATTCTGAGGAGAAATATTCATTAAAAATCTCCCCATCTCCTGTGGTTCCACACATAGACGGCCATGCTGATCTTTAAGGAGACCTGTTCTCTCCCTAGCCACCTTTTTACTCTTAACATAGCTATAGAACCTCTTGGGATTATCTTTAACCATATCTGCTAGATCCATCTCATACCGTCTTTTTGTTCTTCTAATTTCCCTCTTAAATGTGTTTCTACACTTTTTATAGTCATCTGGGGATTCACTTGAGCCCGATAGCTTAAACCCAAAATATGCCTTCTTCTTTTTCCTGACCAGAGCCTCAATATTCCTCGTCAGCCACAGATCGCTAAACCTGCCAGCTTTTCCCTTTACCCTAACAGTCCCTGGACTCTTGATTTCACACTTTTAAGTCTCATGTTTGCCAGTCGTTCCTTTTCCTTCAAACAGACTCACCCAACTGGCAGCTACTAGATCCTGCCTAATGGCTCCAAAATTGGCCCTGCTCCAATTTAGCACCTTAACCTCTGGACTTGTCCTATCTTTTTCCATAACTATGTTAAAACTAAGAGAGTTATGGTCACTGGACCCAAACTGTTCCCCGACTGACACTTCAGTCACTTGCCCGACCTTGTTTCCTAACAGGAGGTCCAGTGTAGCATCCTCCCGAGTATGACCCTCTACATATTGACTTAGGAAACTTTCTTGGACATGTATGACAAATTCCACCCTATTTACGCCTTTTACTCTCTGGGTGGCCCAGTCAGTAAGGGGAAGTTAAAATCTCCAACTAATACAACACTGTTATTCCTACAGGTATCTGCAATCTCTCTACTTATCTGCTCCTCTAGTACCCACTGGCTATTTGGGGGTCTATAATACGTCCCACCAGAGTGATTGCCCCCTTCTTGTTCCTAAGTTCTTACCATATGGCCTCATTTGATAACTCCTTAAGAATATCCTCTCTCAGCACTGTTGTCATGTCGTCCGTTATCAAAAGGGCAACTCCCCCTTCTCGCTTATTTGTACTTCTGTCACACCTGTAGCTTCTGTATCCTGGAACATAGAGCAGCCAGTCCCGCCCTTCTCTCAGCCATGTTTCTGTTATGGCTATAATATCCAAGTACCAAGAGCCAATCCATGCTCTGAGCTCATCTGCCTTCCCAGTCAGGCCTTGTGCATTGAAATAAATGCACTTTAAACCAGAAGTCTTTCCCCTCCCTTTACTGTGCCTCTGAATAGTCAACTTGCTCTGGATGGCTAATGTATTTTCCCCTGACTTGTTGATTGCCCCTTTCTTATTCAGAGTCCCAGCCCCTTGCCAAACTAGTTTAAACCCTCCCGAGTAACACTAGCAAATCTTCCCACAAAGATATTGGACCCCCTCTGGTTCAAGTGCAACCCATTCCTCTTGTAAAGGCCAGCTCTACCCTAGAAGAGATCCCAATGATCCAAGAACTGAAAACCCTGTCCCCTTCACCAGCACCTCAGCCACATATTCATATGGCCTGTCTTTCAATATCTATCTTCACTGGCGCATGGCACTGGGAGTAATCCGGAAATCACTATCCTTGATGTCCTACTTTTTAACTCCCTGTACTCATTTTGCAGGACTCCATCCCTTTGCCTACCTATGTCATTTGTACTGATGTGTACAATGACCTCTGGCTGTTCACCTTCCCCCTTCAGAATGTTCTGAAACCGCTCAGAAACATCCTTGACCCTGGCACCCGGGACGCCATGCACCATCCTGGTGTCTCTTCTGTGGCTGCAATCTCCTGTCTGTCCCCTCACAATTGAGTCTCCTATCAGTATTGCTCTGTCTGACTGCACTCTTTCCCTCTGAGCCTCAGAGCCAGTCACAGTGCCACTGACCTGACTGCTGCTGCTAACCCCTGAAAGGTCATCCCCCCAACAGTATCCAAAGCGGTAAACCTGTTATTGAGAAAAGAAAGAAAGGTAGCAAGTACAAGCCAGTGAGCCTGATATCAGTGGTAGGCAAGTTATTGGACAGGATACCAACATTTGGACAGCCAAGGTTTGATTAGGGATAATCAGCATGGATTTGTGTGCAGGAAGTCATGTCTGACCGATCTTTGAGTTTTTCGAGGTACCCAAGAGGATAGATGAGGATAGGGTAGTGGATGTTGTCTATATGGGCTTTGGTAAGGCCTTTGATAATGTCCCGCATCGAAGGCTTTCATGAAGGCTAGGTCACATGGGATCCAGGGAGAGCTAGCTAATTGGATTCAAAACTGACACAATGGTAGGAAGCAGAGGGTGATGTTTGAAGGTTGTTTCTGGGACTGGAGGCCTGTGACTAGTGGTGTGACACAGGGATCAGTGCTGGGTCCACTGTTTTTTGTCATTTATTTAAATGATTTAGAGATGAACATAAGAGGTATAGTTAGTACGTTTGCAGATGACACCAAAATTGGAGGTGTAATTGACAGCAAAGAGGGTTACCTAAGAGTACGATGGGACCTTTATCAGATGGGCCAATGGGCCGAGGAGTGGCAAATGGAATTTAATTTAGGTAAATATGAGGTGCTGCATTTTAGAAAAACAAATCAGGGCAGGACTTATACACTTAATGGTAAGGTCCTGGGGAGTATTGCTGAACAAAGAGACCTTGGAGCGCAAGTTCACAGTTGCTTGAAAGTGAAATGCTCGGTAGACAGGATAGTGAAGAAGGCATTTGATGTGCTCGCCTTTATTGTTCAGTGCATTAAGTATTGGAGTTGGGAGGTCATGGTGCAGCTGTACAGGACATTGTTTAGGCCACTTTTGGAATACTGCATTGAATTCTGGTCTCCCTGGAATAGGAAAGATGTTGTGAAATTTGAAAGGGTTCCAAAAGATTTGCAAGGATGTTGCCAGGGTTTGAGCAATAGAGATAGGCTGAATAGACTGGGGCTATTTTCCCTTGGGGATCAGAGGCGGAAGAGTGACCTTATAGAGGTTTATAAAATCATGAGGGGCAGGAATAGGGTGAATAGCCAAGGTCTTTTCTTCTGGGTGGGGGAGTCCAAAACTAGAGGGCATAGGTTTAAAAGGGACCAAAGGGAAAACTTTTTCACGCAGAGGGTGGTGCATGTATGGAATGAACTGCCAGAGGAAGTGGTGGAGGCTGGTACAATTACAACTTTTAATTGGATCTGGATGGGTACATGAATAGAAAGGGTTTAGAGAGATATGGGCCAAATGCTGGCAAACAGGACTAGATTTATTTAGGATATCTGGTTGGCATAGACCAGTTGGACCGAAGGATCTGTTTCCATGCTGTACAGCTCTATGACTGTGACTTTTATAAGAAGGATAAAAAGAAACCATCTCCAATGGTAGGATAGGGCAAGGGGTATAATCTTAAAATTAGAGCCAGAGCATTAACAATGAAATCAAGAAACACTATTTTACACAAAGGATAATGGAAATTTGGAACTTGTTACCACAAACGTACAGACATCGGGTTAATTCAAACCTTCAAGTCTGTGCTTAATAGATTTTTGTTAGGCCAGGGTGTGAAACAAAGGTGGGTAAGAGGAGATGAATTGGAGATAGACAATGACATAACTGAATAACAGTTTTGGACAATTTCCTTCCCTATAGTTATCCACCTAAATCACACATCATCTGTGTTTGGAACTGTATTGCCATTCCTTCATTGTCACTCAAAACCTGGAACTCCTTCTTTAACATCAGTGAATGAATTAAAATTAAACTCCTACTGTTAATGTCGATAGAGATCTCCAAGTTCCTGAGCTTCTACAATTTTCTTCTCAATGCCTTGCTGTCCTGCATAATCACAGGAATTATCTGGTCCCTAATATCTAATCATTATCTCATTGCGATTTTTGCATAAATTTTCTGCAGCATTTCCGATATTAAAATGACTAGAATTCAAATATACTTCATTGAATGTAACATCAATGGAATATCTTGAAATTGTGAAAGATTGACAGCATTAGCAGTATTAGGTGGGAGAGTGTTGGCTTCATTGAATGAGCTCTTCCATAACACAATATTGCAACTCACACAATTTTGTAAAGAGATGCTTACAAGCATTATCAGACACTGTCATGTATTGTAGAAGTTTCCTCATCTTCTCTTGAGATGTTTTGCAGCTCATGATTTCAGAATACATTTCATTCGTGAGGCCAAATCCCATCATTTGATCTGCAAGCTCATCAACATTTTGTACCTTCTGAACAAGATTGGCCCAGTTTTGTTGCACAAAGGATTTCTTGTCTGTTGTTGCAAAATATAGAAAGAAAAGAATGAATGTAGGAATTAATGTGACACCTAAATGTAAGAAGTTAAATGACAGAATTTAAAGTGACCCAACTTAAAATCTGATTTGACAAAATGTGACTCCAATGTCATGAAATTGAATATTATAACACTTCCTTCTATCTGATTGGAAAAGCTAATCATATTCTTGTCAGCAAATTTTAAAAAATCTTTCAGCTATTCTGAAACAACTAGAAAATAAAATACCTTCTAGCTTAAATGTCTTTTAATTTGGCCTAATAAAAATTGCCTCTGAGAATCAAACAGTTTTCTATTGGATCTTAATGTGAGAAAGAAGTGATAAACACCCCAGGGACAAAGAGCTATACTTGTGAAAATGCAACATGTAAGGGTCAACATACAATTAAATGGAAAGCAAACCAGAATGCAAAGAAAAAGCACACTTTATGATTGGAAGAGGTACAAAGAATGAAACAGGATAATTAAACAATTTGAGCTATAAAAAGCTGACATAAAAAGAAACTTGACGGGATATCAAAATCCACACAAGAAACCTTTGCAATTACAAAATTCAAAATGAAGATAAATAATGTGGGCCCTATAAAATTTAACAATGGTAATATTATATTGGAGCTGTTTGTGCCAGTATTTACAGTAGAGCAAGAGGACAACATGACAGAAATCCCAAGGAAACTAATATTAATTCAGGGACAGGTGCCAAGATTAATGTAAGCAATTTATCAGTAATGATATTAATCACATTAATTGTGTCAAATCCCCAGGACAAAATTGTTTCAAATCAGGGTTGTAAATTCTATATGTATTGGCTAGCATGTTTCTTACATTATAACAATGAGTAAGCTTCAAAAATCTCATTGGATGTAAAACTGTCTGGAATATCCTGTGGTCATGAAAGGCGGTATCTAAATTCAAGTCCTTTTTAAAGTAGAGATAGTAGGAACTGCAGATGCTGGAGAATCCGAGACAACAAGGTGCAGGGCTGGATGAACACAGGGTCTAGGCCCGAAACGTCAGCCTCTCCTCTCCTTTCCTTTTTAAAGTAAGCAGGTGAGAACATTCTAGATGTCCTAAATGTGATATTCCAAAGTTATCTAAAATTAGGAACTGTTCTTTTAGAATGGAAGAGTGCACTTCATTCTAGTATTTGTGAAAGGCAAGAGAATTATAGACCAATTAATCTAACATAGCCTAAAATTTAGAGTCTGGTCTTTCAAAAGAAAAGGGAACAGTTATACATGAACAAAAACAGATGTTGCTGGGAAAGCTCAGCAGGTTTGATAATATTTGTGAAGAGAAATTAGAACTGAGGAAGGGTCACTGGACCCAAAACGTTAACTCCAATTTCTCTTCACAGATGCTGCCAGACCTGCTGTGCTTTTCCAGCAACTTCTGCTCTTGTTTCTGATTTACAGCATCCACAGTTCTTTTGGTTTTAAACAGTTGTACATGTATATGTTTGGAACACTCTTCCACAAACAGCAGTTGTTGGGTCAATCGTTAACTTTACATCTGAGATTAATAGATTGTTTTCCAAAGATATTAAGGATATGGAAAGCAGGTATATGGGCTTAGGTCACATATCAGTCACAGTCTCATTAAAGACAACACAGGCTTGTTGGCTAAATGCCTAACTTTGTTCCTATGTTGCTATGTGTCAGGCAAAGGACTGAATTTCATTTGTGTCTGAGACTGGCCATTGCAGTACTTTTACATAAGAAATAGAAGTAGGATTAGGCCATGTACTCCCTTTGCCTGTACCAACGTTCAAAACTTTCACACCTGATCATGTAACTAAATTTCACTTTATCATCAAATTCCCAAATCTCTTCTTTCTTTCGTGTCCAAAAACCTACAGCTGAATATTCCTAGCCTCATGGAAATGGGTCTGGAGGTGTACACCAGGAAAATAGCAAAGACAAATCCATAAGGGAAAGATCCTGCCTGATCGATGCCCTTGAGCACTTCGAGGAAATGCCAGCAAAATGGACAGTGGAAAGTTTCATGCCACAATGTCACAGAGTCATACAGCATAGAAACAGGCTGTTCGGCCCACCATGTCTATGTGGACCAAAAACACCAAACTATGCTAATCCCATAGCCTACTATGCCCTGGCATTTTAAGCACTCATCCAGCTGCTTCTTAAATGTTGTGAAAATACTTGCCTCCATTACCCTCTCAGCCAACACATTCCATATTTCTACTACCCTCTGGATGAAAAGATGTTTCCTCAGGTTCCTCCTAAACCATTTATTCGTCACCTTAAACTTATGCCCTCTGATCATAAATACATCTTCAGGGGAAAATATTCTCATGATTTACCGTTTATATGCCTCCCAGAATTCTGTGTATTTCAATCAAATCCCCCCTGAGTCTCGGACAACAAGGTGCAGGGCTGGATGAACACAGCAGGCCAAGCAGCATCATAGGAGCAGAAAGGCTGACGTTTCGGGCCTAGACCCTTCATCAGAAAAAAAAAGTCTCGTCTGCTTCAGGGAAAACAAACCCAGCCTGTCCAGTCTCTCCACATAACTGAGAATTTCCATTCAGGCAATATTATGGTGAATTTCCTCTGTCCCTTCTCTGATGGTGTGGTGACCTCACAACTACATACTGTATTTCATCAGTGGCCTAAACAATGCTGTGTAAAGTTGCAACAGGACTTCTGAACCTATATTCTACACTCTGGCTACTGAAGGAATACATACCACACGCCTTCTTCACAACAATGTCTACCTGTGCTAACACCTTCAAGGATCTTTGAACTTTGTTCCTCAGTACTCCCTGGTGACCTACCATTCATTGTGTATGTCCTTCCCTTATTCGACCTCCCAAAATGCATATCCTCACACTTATCAGGATTAAATTCTATTTGCCATTGCTGGTATCTTATTTTTATTCATTCAGAGGATGTGGGCATCACTGGTTAGGTCAACTTTCATTGCCCATCCCTAATTGCCAAGAGGGCAATTGAGAGTCAACTATATTGCTGTCGGTCTGGAGTCGCATGTGGGCCTGGTAAGGATGGCAGTTTTCTTCCCTAAAGGGCATTAGTAACCAGATGGTGTTTTCACAAACAATCAACAGCAGTTTCATGGTCATCATTAGTCTTTAATTCCAGATTATTATTGAATTCAAATTCCACCATCTGCTGTGCTGGGATTTGAATCCAGGTCCCCAGAACATTACCTAGGTCTCTTAATGAATAGTCTAATGATAGTACCACTAGGCCAGCTGAATTCCCAAAAGTTATGTCGTTAGTTAAACTGAAAGATCTGTGGAAGACTTTGAAGAGAAAACTGTGGGAATATCCAAATTATGTGTGGTGCTAAAAATAGAACAACAAAAGCATAGACATGACAAGTTAACTCTCTCTCCATAATTGTTGCCAGCTTTAGAGTATTTTCAACAGTTTTGTTTCATTGGATTTTCAAAATAATGGAGAGCTTACAATGTTGGAGGAGGGGGGAGTACTTAATAAGATGCTCCTAGTGTTGATAACAGTTTTATGTTTCTATTTTATGTAAATGACCTAGATTCAGCAATGGAATTAGAAGGCCTATAGAAATTACAGAATGTGTAATGCATAAACAGGGAGAACAATAACAAATAAAGTTTGCGGCAGAAGAGTATTATGATATTTTGAAGTCAAAATGGATGACAGATATTCTGTGAATAATGCTGAAATTGTGAAGAATGGATTTAAATTAGATCTTGAGAGTTGGTAGACTCAAAGCATAACATCTAACTAATGCTGCATGCAAACAAGGTTGACTGAATTGTAGAATGCAAATTTGAAGAAGTTGTGATCATTCTGCACAGTGTTCTGATTGGACCATACCTTGAATACAATTGATACAGTTAAGGCTGCCAAGACTGAGGGAGACGCTTAAACAGAGTATTGTAAAGGGAACCTTAAGAATCCTATGAATGGACAAATTTAGATGGGCAGAATGGCCTTCCTTATTTACAATGATCTTGTGATCTTACAAATATAAATGTATGTTGGAAAAATGAAATACCTGTCACTTTGCCTTCCAGCTCTTTAGTGTTAATTTTCTTCATTGGAGCTGCATGGAAAAGATTAAAGATTTGTTATTCCTCAGTGATCTTCCTTAATGTAAAACATACATGTCATATTTTCAACAATCAACTCACACACAGACAGTGGGCATCATCCTTCCATTACAAGCCATTTTAGGCCTTTATTTTATAATGCATTACTTTAATAATAAAACTGTTTTATGTTGGGGTCCCATGGTCAATGGTAGTGTCCCTACCTCTGAGCCAGAAGGTCTGGAATTAAGTCCCACTTTCCCTGGTGCTGTGTCATAATAGTTCTGAATAGGCTGATTAAAAATAATGTTGGGCTCTTGAGGTGCCATGGCAGTGTGCCAAATCTGAGCCTAGGTTCAAGTCCCACCTGCTCCAGAGGAGTGTCATAACATCTCTGACCACGTTACTTAAAAATAGCTAAAACTATTTTAGGCCTTGATTGTCATGTGACGGACATGTTTGGGAGAAGCAGATTAGGTATATCAATTCTGAGCTAGAAATAGGAGTGGAAGGGTGAGGTCAAAACTCTAGAAACTCTGCCCTGAAGTACAGCAGGACTTCCACCCGCCTGTCTTTTTTGCTTAGACCCCTGTTCCAGTCTCAGGAATGGGATTATTTAAATAGAGGGAAGACGTCTATTTCATTAATATCGTGCTTCGGAAATGGTATCAATGATCGAAGATGTTATTATATTGGTTGCAAAACTGGGTTGCCTGACAATATTTTGATAAAGCAGATCACAGTCAGTGTAGCATCTTGATGATTTCAGGCTACTACTAGCACACTGTACCTTCAGAACAGGAAGCGATTCAGACCATCAAGACCCTGCTGTGTCATTTAGTCAGGGGTTGCCAGAATCCATAGTACACTCACACATTTATGATGCCAGCTATGTCAATAGAGTTTTAGGGAAGAGCAGTGAGGGTGTGCACTGGAAATATGTAGAGCAGGGGGTAGATTGTGATGTTAGTGTGTAATGCTGATTTGATGTCAGTACTGCCATTTTGGAGCGCAAAGTTAACAGCTTCTCTTAACTTTAAAAGCAGAATACATGTTTAGCAGCAGAAAGGGAACTCCCTATCAACCCCAGGCATCCACCCACCGTTATTTTTTTTTTAAAGTCATCAGCTATATTTAGGTTAGTTACTGACTGGTTTCTGTTGTCTCTTGTGTAAGTCTAGGAGTATTTAGTGGTTTTCAGAGTTTTCCAATGTTACTAAAGTCTCCAGGGAAAGCTGTGGCACATAGTGATGCGTGTGTGGTTATATTGAGGATTTTGCATTTGTTTCTACTCAATGATACATTATCATTTCTTCCTTTTGATCTATGTGAGCATAGCAGAGGGGACACCGAGGAGGATCTGTTGCTGGAAGAGAGAGGAGGGAAAATGGAAGAGGGGTCTCAGCAGGAGGTCGTATCAGCCCAGTGTGTTCAGTGAACAATCTGAACCTAAAGTGAGGAACGGTCTGTCAGATGTTTCCACTTCACCCTGGTCATCTTCATTAAAATCTGACATCTTTGCAGCTACAACTCAGAGCTACGGAATCTAGAAGTAGGGTGAGGGCATAAAGAAGGTCACCAAAGCTATGCTTTGTATGAAATCTGAATCCTGCTGAAAATGAGACGTGCTGTCAAAGCTTTTCACGTCTCTTTCCCCAGCAATACAAGGTCTATGCTACTGGATACTACAAATCTGATTACATTTCATGTTGCTTCTTGAAAGGGAAAGAGATGCAGTCAGCTGATGAGTTCATTGCAGCAGTCCCTGTGGTTTGAGGTATCACTAACAGCACGTAGAATCCCTACACTGTGGAAGCAGGCCATTTGGCCCTCAAGGCCACACTGACCCTCCGAAGAGCACCCCAACCAGACCCAACCTTCCCAGCCACCCTATCCCCATTACCCTGCATTTCCCATGGCTAATCCACCACACTGGCACAGCCCTGAACAGTGAAAGGCAATTTAGCATGGCCAACTCATCTAACCTGCACATCTTTGGACTGTGGGAGGAAACCAGAGCACCCGGAGGAAACCCACTCAGACATGGCTTTTTTTCTGGTGAAGGGTCTAGGCCTGAAACGTCAGCCTTTCTGCTCCGATGATGCTCCTTGGCCTGCTGTGTTCATCCAGCTCTGCACCTTGTTTTCTCAGACATAGGGTGACTGTGCAAACTCCACACAATCACCCAAGTCTGCCCACATACAGCACAAGCTTTCCCAGAGTCCCTGATATCTTCACTGGTCATGTTGATGCACTCTGCTGAGGTTCTGCTGTTTCTAGGCTGCAACCAATTTTCTAACAGCTCCTCTATCTCTTTATTGGTTCAAGGAGGAGGGAGGGAGGGAGGGAAACCATTTTACGGTTCCAGGAAAGGCGCACAGTGAGTTTCATTTCAATTACTTTCAGGTAGAAAATATTTGAACTAGAAAATGGTTGGAGATAGATCATGTGAATAAACCAGAAGAGAATCATTTAGAAATTTGAGCTGGGATGGTCGATTAGTTGCTGAACCAGACAGATATAGACGACAATTTTTTTTCCAGTTGTACACTTTATTTTGCTTCCATTTAAGTGCTTGATCCACTAATTGAAAAAAGCTGAATAATTTAGTGTGGTGCATAGAACATTACATTTTAATATCAAAAAAACAGTTACCCAAAGGCATTTTATTCCTGGCTTTCTCGCCATGAGGTTTCGAGCTGGAATTTGTTGACATTTTGATGGTAGCACTGTTCAATCCTTGGATGTTGGGACTAAACACAGTAGAGCCTCCATCAACCGTAATATTAGACACTATCTTATGCCCTTTGGCACCTAAATAAGCAGTTTAGAGAAGATTAATTACAGAATTAGCCAACATTATAGATTTTTACCAGATTGCACATCCAAAATATGACTTGATGTCTTGTTACTACTCATTTCATTCAGAAGAATTAAAGCACAGTTTCTGACTTAAGTAATATTATACCACATTGGGCTAGAGAATGCAAACAATAGCGTTTTGTTTTGCTATTAAGAACTTTAAACCTTCCAACCAGTGGCCAACATATTCTATATAGTTTGTCCTGGATGGTGTCATTCATAAATGCCTGTATTTTGTGAAATAGTGTTGCTATCTTAAGCAGGGAATAATCCAATGTACTTGACCCTTAACATAAAAAAGAGTGCAGTTGCCATTATCATTGGTCCCTGCTCGCTAGTGATCAATTGCTTTCTTTCTCCCTGGCTACTGTCTGCAGTTGAACCAGATAGCACACAATTGTGCAATCCCATTTTAAGCTTGGGCTGATTTATCGATACCATAGCCTCCTCATTATCAAAGCAGATCACTAATAAGGTTAAGAGGTCTTTGTTTGGTCAAGCAACTGGATGACAACTTTGAAGAGGGATGACTTCTTGTAAAAGAAGGGGAAAACAGGCCAGTATTCCTAAATACATCAGCCCATAACTTCTTGTAACAAATGACAAATATTAGCCATCAAGAATCTGATCAGGGAAAATGTAAGATTCTGACTAATATCACCAGCAAGAAAAAAAATCAAAGTTTAATTCAGTTTAAGTACATAAATATCTTTCTGATAAATCTATTATTCCTATCTACTCAAACTCATGCTGTACGAGAAATTATACAAGGCTACATTTGAACATTGATCTTTAGACTAACACTGTGCATCTATATCAGAATTAAGAATACCAATCGTAATATACATGAGTACCTCTGTCTCTATCATAATATCAAATAAAAGAACATTCAAATATAAGTTTTCAAACATGTTTTGGTGATCAAATATTGACTGAAATGAACAGACTAATCTGGCTTTTGTTTCAAGAATGTCACAAAGTAAAGTAAGAAATACCTGGCTCCATCTTTGGTGTTCAAGTCTCTAAGCACTAGAGAATTATCTGCAGCTGAATTTAAAGAAGAGGTTATTTTGTTTCAATATATTGCTTTTACATTAAAGTAACAAAGTTCTGTAAACAAGGTCTATATCCTTTAATCCTTACTCTGTCATAAACCTTTAAACAAATCATGTAAGCATCATTAAACCATAAAATGTTTAAGGTGCCACTAATAGTTGAGCTAACCTTTGGCCTAATTTGTGCCACTGACCAGGAACATTTATGTCCTTGATTAGAAACTTGGTCCATTTAAATGTAGTAGCTAACCTCATCTGTGTGGCAGTGTGGACGCTATAACTAACCGACCTCGGGAAGGAATGAAATAAACATATGTAACCATTTTGGGTACAATTACTGTGCTGGGAAGAGGAAAAGTGCATATCGGATAGCAGTATCGTTGAATCTGCTTCAATACCCTGCCATTATTCACTCCCCCATTCAGGCAAATAACCTGGCAATATTTACTTTCTGGATTCATACACAAGAATCACTGAAAAAAAGTCAAGAATTGGAGGGCAACATTACAGCCTGGAAATTCACATTTTTAAAGAGATAATTTAACATTTTTGCTCCTGAAACATATCCAATTCCCCCGTGAAAAGGAGCTGCTATTGCGTGGGAATGGGGTAGGACCAGCTGTGAAGATCCTCAATTCCCCATAGCCTGACAACATTTGCACACTTACAGTAGAATAGGGCAGTTACAAAACATCAAATGTTTTAAAAAGACAGCATCAGATAATCAAAGGAGAGGTTAAGCAAACAGAAAAAAAGAGAGTAAAAAGACAATGTCATGTTAGTCACAGAGGGCAACAAAGCATGCTAATTTCAGCACTAATATTAATGTTAATGTTGATTATGATCAACTAATGGGCTTTTTAACATACAAACAATAGCTCAAATTTTCAGATCAGGGTCAGAATCCCCGCTCCTGTTAGACAAAAAGTTACCCACTTACCTGCCCAGGATTTTTCGCACTTGAGTTCCAACGCTAGATCCAGTCCAAAACAACGCAGAGGCAGCATTGAAGTGAACCTTTACAGAAGCCACACCTCCTTTTTACAGCAGGTAAATACAACTACAAGGTCCCAAAGCCTCTTTTACAAGCAACTGAAAGACATTGAGCGTTTATGATATGTGTGTGGGGATGAACTGGCAGGGTGAAAGGTGAATTGTGTGAAGGGTGGATGAGGGATTAGTGTAAGTTGCCAGCTGACTGGGTGAGGAGGTATGCTGATAGGTGGGTGTGTAGGTGGGTAGCAGTTGGTTGAGGGGGTAGGTGTCAGGGAAATAGGGTAAGTTGACAGTTGGGTGAGTGGATCTGATGTTGAGGTTGGATCAGGGGAGTCAGGTGTTGGGGAAGACAGACAGAAATCTAGAGGTGGGGCAGATGGTAGGGGCTGGTTGAGGATGGAGACATCAGGAGTCAGAAGGAGAGGTGCCAGGTCATGGAGTGGGACAGTTGTTAACGATGGGGGTCCGGGTGTCCTGTGGGGGTGCAGATCAATTATGGGTTTGGAGGGATTGGATGTAAGTGGGTGCATTGGGATGGGATTAGGTATAAAACCAAAGAAATAGGAACAGGAGTAGACCATTCAAGCCTGCTATGCCATTCAATAGAATCATGGCTGATCTAACATTTCTGATATCCACTTTACTGCCCTTTTCCCATAACCATTGATTCCCTACTCATCAAGAATCTGAGCCTTAAATATACACAAGGACTCTACTTCCTCAGCTCTCTGTGGCAAGATCTTACAGTGACAAACAACCCCCCAAGAGAAAAAATATTCCTTCTCATCTCTGTTTTAAATAGGCACTTCTTTTATTTGAGGCTATACCCTCTGGTCCTAGACTCATCCTTGAGTGGAAACATGTTTTCAGCATTTACCCTGTCAAGCCCCTTGAGAATCCCATATATTTCAATGAGATCACCTCACATTTTTCTAAACTGCAGTGTGTAGAGTCCCAACCTGTTTACCCTTTGCTCATAAGACAATCCTTCCATACCCAGGGATCATTCTAGACAGCCTTCTCTCAATTGCCTCCAATGAAATGATATGTTCCTTACATAAGGGGAACCAAAACGGTTGGGTGTCCAAGCATTACACCTTTTATGAATTAAACAAAAACTTGGGGGACAGTTATTCCCTGGTGCATTCTCCTATGCAATGCCCCAACCAATCATAACCAACTTGCCAAACACTCAGCACTCTTTTCTCGAGTAATATAAATTTTAGAGGGATAAATGCTGGCAAATGGGACTAGATTAATTTAAGATACCTGGTCAGCATGGGCGAGTTGGGCTGAAGGGTCTGTTTCTGGGCTGTACAGCTCAATGACTCTGTGCCTGTAAATTGTTGCTCCCTTTGAAATTTGACATTTTTTGCGTTATGCTGATGAGACAAGATAAAAACTTTCAACTGCAGATCTCTTTTTTCCCAGCCAGACACTCCTGTTTATTTCTAAAAGTTATGATATTACATAAAAGTAAAGGGGTGCATCCCACATTAGATAGTATGTTGGCCTTCATAGCAAAAGGATTTGAGTACAGGAACAAGGATGTTTTGCTACAATTATACAGGGCATTGGTGAGGCCACACCTGGAATATTGTATGCAGTTTTGGCCTCCTTATCTGAGGAAGGATGTTTTTTGCTGCAGAAGGAGTGCAGCGAATGTTTACCAATTTGGTTCCTGGAATGGCAGGACTGACACATGAGGAGAGATTGAGTCAGTTAGGATTCTATTCACTGGAGTTTAGAAGAATAGGTTTGGTGGGGGTTTGGGGAATGTCATAGAAACCTATACAATTCTAACGGGACTGGACATATTAGATGTGGGAAAGATGTTCCAGATGTTGGAGCAGCCTGGAACTTGGGTTCATTGTTTAAGGACTAAAGGATAAACCTTTTAGGGCTGTGAAGAGGAGAAATGACTTCACCCAGAGAATGGTGAGTCTGTGGAATTCATAGAAAATCATTTGAGGCTAAAACATTACATGTTTTCAAGAAGGAGGTACACGTAGTTCTTATGGTTAAAGGGATCAAGGGATATGGGTGATGACGAGATCATAATCACAATGTCGAGGCTATAGTTCCCTCTGTCTCTCTATCTCACTCTCTCTAATGTACACACACTTTCTCTCTCTCAGTATGAATACTTTTGAGGACTTTTTCCTCAATTGCTTCTCACCAGTCTAACAGAAAATCAAAGATGGGTTTTAGACTCCTCCAGCCTTTGAAATAACTTTCGAGTTTTTCAGTGTTTCCTCGGGTCAGCTTCCATGCTCTGCTACCGAATATCTGGTTGGGACGATGCACTTATCTAGTGTTTCTTCAAGTGAGCTGCAGGTTTTTTCAGTGATAACAATTAGGAAAAAAAAAATCACAAGTCTCACAGGTAGAGCCTTGCAATGCAGTCAGCCCTTGGAGTATCAACATAGTTCAGTGCATGCAACCGAACGGTTCCTCTGGTCTTTGTGTGGGTGACTACAGCCCTGAAGGAGACATTCAGAGAAGGATACTGAATTAACCTTGGTGGATTCAATTGTATGAATGTTTGGGACACAACTAAGAAGTCTATCTTGAAGCACAGAGACACACCAGATATATCTACTTGCTGATCCATCTTCGGTGTTGAAGATGTCACACAGCTTGGCATCTTTGATGACTTTTATCTGGAGGACATACAAGGAGTTCAGTCTGGTGTTTGTTCTGCCCAATTGTTCAGCCACATTGATCATGCTGTTTGAGTAAATTTAGAGTTTTAGACTGTAGCTGTAGGGGTTAAATGGATATTTCCACAGTAAAAGTGAAAGCAGACTACTGGAACTTGTACTGAACGAACTTTATGAATTCGAGGTGCTAGTGCCAGCAGCAGTACTGTAAGCACCTGTGTAAATAGGAGATAATGTTAATAAAAGTATTCTGAGAAGTGGGAGGATGGGACAGGACGGTAACATTGATAAAGGAGAGAAAGGCAGTCATATCTAGGTCAAAGATTGATTACTTTCTGACTGGATGAAGGACACATTAACATTAACCCCCATGACCTTGAATAGTCACTTCTGTTCTTTTGTTTGAATCAAGGAAGATTAGAATCTGGATAATAAGATGCTTAAGGTATAAAGTTACTCAACTTTTCTGTAAGCTTCAGAGTTTTGCTTCAGTTTTTAACTGAAGTGAATCGCTCCATATGTCGCTAATAAAACTATTGTAAAACCTGTACTCAGTCTCCAGTAACTGAATGTGGATGAAGATAATACCTGGTGCTGTGAGCTGGGTGCTGATCTCGAACCATCAGAGCAGTGCTGCAAAATGGGTGAGTATTTTTTATTTCCCACCCATAATTAGTGTAATAAGATGACCCAAGGAGATCGAAAATCAAAGAATCTGGAGGAATACGGAGTACAGAAAGCATCGAAAAGAAAGAGATTGATGACAAGGATTCTGTGTTGGTACAATTCGCACAGAAGTATGCAACTGCACTGGTGGTATCTGCATAAGGGCTGAGGTTAAAGGACTGTCCTGTTTGTATCTATACTGAGTACAGAAAGAAAATTAAGTGCAGTCAGAAGAGAAGGAGTTGAGGGGCAGGATACGTTTGAGTGGGGTTCGGAGAACTCCATCATCAAACTGAGAGTGGAATGGCAGTTGAAAATAATTCAGAGAATGCTGAAGGATGGGTAGAACCTACAGGGCACCCTCAGAAAACAAAAATATTGGTTAATGAGCGAGAAAAAGGATAAAGAACAAAAGATAGTAATAATCATCACCAGTTTATATTAGCAGTTATGCAAACGAGTTATGAGAAGAAATCACAAGTTAATGACTACAGCAAGCTTGGATAAGGTAAAAACAGCTGAGAAATGGGAAGAAGGCAGAGCTACACCCCCCATAAAATGAATTGTGACAGTGCAAAATGGAAGTAATTCACACTATAGTTGAAATTATGGAGTTGTTGGCAAAAATCAAAGATTCAGAATTGGCTTGACAGAAGGTTGAACATAGTAGCTGCTCTTTCTATAGAACTGGGTGCACATATTGCTTAATTAGTGCCATGTGTTTTTGTGAGTGCATTGGTTACGAGGAGGTGACTATCTACTACCTCTTTTAATTCTATGATGTTGAAGTTACGGTGTTGCAGCAGGATCCCCAGCCTTGAGAAACTGCAATTGTTTCCTCCTTACGAGATCATTGCAATCCCCAGCATTAATGATTGTTGATGTGCTTTAAGCCATGTTCCTGCAAGAATAGAGTTTGGCCTTGACCTCGGTGAGGTAGCACCGCAGTTTGTTTTTACAGTTGTAACTTTGTATTCCATTTTTAAAACATATGTACTCCAAAGTCCCATTGAAACAGTCAGTTGGAGAGCAGAGATACCTCTGTGGATGTGGCCCCAGGCTACTTTGGAGGTGGAGTTAAAGCTTCCTTTGGTACTTGAGTTAGGTCACAGAAAGGGTGGGAGAGAACTTTCACAAAGCATTGTTTGGATGGAGGTCTTGAATCCTTTAGGAAGGAGGTTAGTTTCCTGTGGAGAAGTTTGTGAATAAATGGCACATTCAACATTTTGAAACTGTCCAACCCATCAAGAGGTATCACAAAGTGTCAAAAGCTGTCAAAAAAGCTTCCAATTTGTCAACATCTATAAACATTTTTTTTGTATATGAGTGAGAGTGATTTTCTTTACAATAAAATGCACTCTGCAATAGATAAATTTTAGTAGAATTTTATTTTCTCCTGCATTCATGGGTAATTGTGAATGCTAGGAAGTCGGCAAGGCAGGTGAAGAGGGAAAGGGTGGAACATAGAAGCAGAAATTAAGTTAATATAAGAGGTTTTAAGGCCAAGGGTAGGTTGGGTGACATCAGGTGCCATGCGTTGGCATTGGTTGAACATGGGGTGTGTGTGAATGTGAAGGGGGATGAGGGAGGAATAAGGGATAAAGACCAAAGAAATATTGTATTTTAAAGTTTAGCCACAGTGCTGCAGTTCCAAGACAGGTTTGCCATACAGCCAGTTTTGGCAACTAACTCTTCCCAGACCACCCAGCCTAATGCCCAATCCAGCCAGTGCCACTGAACCAAAAATGGGAAATACGGGTGGCCATTTTTAAAGGTTGGGTGTGTAAAGTCTAGGTTTCTCTTGCCTCTGCGTATCTGATCCAGGAGTAAAAATGGATCTGGTTAACAGGGAAATTTGGGAGACTCTATTCAGGCCACAGTTAAAGAAATCCTTCAAACAGGAATACACTAAACTATTTAAAGGTTAGGGAGGTATTAAACTGAAGAAAGATGCTAAACCCTTCAATCTTTATGCACCCATATAATCACATTAGGAAGAGATGGCATGAGAAATAACATCATCAAAATACAAAATTTCAGAGAGGGGCCAAATAGAATATTGAATTCAATATCATGAAAAAAATATACAGAATAGCTCCCAAATCTGAATCTGAAAAAGCCTGAAAGTGATCATACAAATAGATCACAAACCTTTAGTTTCTCGACTAGATAAGATATTAGGAAGGATGCCTCCAAAAACATAGACATTTCGACACAGTCTCATGAGGTTTGTCAATGAAACAGCACACATGCAGCAAAAACTGCAGATGACATCAGACGGACTCTCTAGAGTCAACAAAAGTGCAGAGCTGGATGAACACAGCAGGC